ACACTACCCAGTACAAACATCACGGGATTTATCATTAACACTTGTTTATAAAGAGCACTTTCATCAGGTTTCTCAGTGGGTGCGTCACTGAGTGGGGAGAACCTTTTTGATGTTTTGATCGGAACGGAAGAGCAGTGTTTTGTCCTGCGACTATGCTGTCTCACAGTCACCCAGTCGCCCTGCTGCATGGGCTCTACAACCGGAACGAACAATGTACAAGATTCCCTGAGCTAGTCGCATCCAAAGCCATATCTAAGGCCCTCACATTCTTACTATCCTCAATAAGTTTGGATGCGTGTCTCTAAAATTCTAAAATCTTCTCTGTCAGCCTAACTATTTCCCTGCATTTATCACGTGAATCCCTCATTGCTGACAGAAAGAGATCAAATATACATGTGGCAAGCGGTGCAAATAACAATAGCAGTAGAAGAAACCATTACTCACTGTGATTGTTGAATGATTTCGACTTACCACTGTTGTTTGAGCTCGTGAAAAACAGAGCTGGGGGGGGGGAAAGAAATGGAGCGAGGGGAAAAAAGAAAACTGAACGTTAGTAGTACAGTCATGGCCAAAAGTTTTGGCAGTGACATAAATTTTGTGTTTTTCAAAGTTTGCTGCTTAAGCTGTTGTGGTGTTCATTCACATTGTTTCTAGATTATTGTATAGAGTGATCAGATGCATTTTAAATAATTGCTAAAAGCTTCATTGGCCAAAAAAATTAACTTTTCACAAAAAACAATAGTTTTGATCCTGACACAGAATGACCAGCTAACATTAATTGACTAATCATATCAGCAGCACATGTGAAAGTGTGAATGAATACTAGTCAGGTAAAATCACTATCATACTAATTAGATTGTAAGAGCAGACTGATTGCTTTAAAAGGAGGAAAGAAGTGCTTCCAATTATTGTGTTCTTGTTAGCAATGTTTACCTCCAAAGAAACACGTGCAGCCATCATCGCTTTGCATCAAAATGGCCTCACATGCAAGGAAATTGCTACAAAGAATATTGACCCTTAAAGAACCACTTACTGGATCATCATGAACTTCAAGGAGAGAGGTTCGACTGCAGTGAAGAAGTCTTCAGGATGTCCCAGAGCGTCCAGCAAGTGCCAGGACCGTCTCCTCCTGAGGCGTCAGCTACGGAATCGTGTCACCAGCAGTGCAGAGCTTGCTCAGGAATGGCAGTAGGTTGGTGTGAGAGCATCTGCACGCGCAGTGAGGCCAAGACTTTTGGACAACGGCCTGGTGTCAAGAAGGGCAGCAAAGAAGCCACTTCTCTTCAAGAAAAACGTCAAGGACAGACTGAAATTCTGCAGGAAGTACAAGGATTGGACAGCAAAAGACTGGTCCAAAGTTATTTTCTCGGATGAAGCTCCCTTCTGACTGTTTGGGACATCTGGAAAAGCGATTGTTCGGAGAAGAAAAGGTGAACGCTACCATGAGTCCTGTGTTGTGCCAACAGTGAAGCATCCTGAGACCATCCATGTGTGGGGTTGCTTTTCAACCAAGGGAGTGGGCTCTCTCATAATTCTGCCCAAAAACACTGCCATGAATAAAGAATGGTATCAAAACGTCCTGCAAGAGCGACTTCTTCCAATGATCCATGAGCAGTTTGGTGATGATCCATGCATTTTCCAGCATGATGGAGCACCATGTCACAAAGCAAGAGTGATAAAGAAGTGGCTCGAAGATCATTACATTGAAATTTTGGATCCGTGGCCAGGCATCTCCCCCGGATTTCAATCCCATAGAGAACCTGTGGTCAGTCCTCAAAAGGAGAGTGGACAAGCAGAAGCCCACAACTCCGAGAACTAATAAGACAAGAATGGAGCACCATCAGTCAGGATTTGGCCCAGAAGCTAATATCCAGCATTCCAGAGCGAATTGCAGAGGTTATGAACAAGGGTCAACACTGTAAATATTGACTTTTTTTTTTTTTTTTGCCAATAAAAGCCTTAACTTATATGCTTATCATTGTTTTTCAGTATACCGTAGAAACATGTGGAAAAATAATCTACAACTACTGAAGCAGCAAACTTTGCAAAACACAATTTGTCACTGCCAAAACTTTTGCCCATGACTGTAGACGCGAATAGAAATGCGAATGGCAAGCTAACCGGCTAACGGAATGCTAATGCGCTGCACTCGTGGTTTTAGATTAAATGCAACGATCAAATTAGTCAGATTAGTTTGATGGATAATATCAGAAATATGGTGGGAATTAAGTTATATTTTATCACTTTAAACAACAGAGAGTGATAGATAGAGATTCAACAGAAAAGCGAAGCTACACGGAGCTACAATCGCAAACCACTCAGCAGAGTGGCAGACAGGAACCAGAAGTAGTATTTGATAAAAACATGATTTTCTCAGTTTTTTGCACAAATGTTGCTTTTTTTTTTATGAAACTTACCTGCATTCAAGTGTTGATTAAAATAAAGAATGCTTGAAGCTAGAATAAAACAAATTTTATTTATTTTTGTTTATTTTATTTTTAAGTAAAGGCTCTGTTCTTTATTTCGATGTATTGCATGTTCAGATATCCATACAACAAAATATTCTGGGGGGCCATGAAAATTATCAAAAAGGCTAGTGGTGGCTGGCAATTTTTTATTTTTAAACACTCGAGGGGAAAGAGTTAAAAAATAAAAAAGTGTTACCAGATATTTTAAATGGGTAACGATACCACACATTATGCAGGGACAGCTGCTGCCTGTGCATATTTGAGTAAGTGCTCTGTGAAGAGGATCAAAGGTTTCTGTTTGTAAAGTGTTTGCAGCATTGAGAATTGTAGCCAATCACAGACATGTCTGTTGAGCATGTGAACAAATGGCGCTTTTCCACTGCGTGGTACGACTCGGCTCGGTACGGCTCAGTACAGTACGGTACGGTTCGGCTCGGCACGGTTTGCGTTTCCGCAGCAGTTCAGTACCGTTTTAGAGTGGGCGGGATTATTCATGTCGTTATAGTTGCACCGCCTCTACTGCCGCGACTCCTAAAAAAAACTTTTTCATTCCACATCGCCCCATCAAGCGCGTACCATGCAGTGGAAAAGCGCCAAAAATGACCAGTCAGATGTTAAAGTTAGTGAGATACCACTTGAAATGCAGGAGTTTTATTCAGCATGTTTTAAAGCTCTGTATGGTCATGAATTTTGTAAATAATAAATTCATTGTGCACTGATCTTCACTGATTATAAGAAGAATTTTCGCAATAGTGCGAAATATTTAAATTCGGAACTGAATCTGACATTGTGATGGTTGTTACAGTGATAACCATAGAAATAGATGGGACAAAAACATTTTTTAAATGTCAAAATAGATCTTGGAGTGCCAACTAATAGATTTGCCACTTGTTGAATATAATGTTTGTTTGTTTTTTGTTGTTCATTTTATTACTAACTTTTCATTTGACCTTTTTAAAGCAATGTTTATTTAATTAAAATATTTTAAGGCTACATGCTGTTTAATGTATTATATATTTTTTATTAGTAGTAGTAGTATTATTAGCATTAATAATAAACTAAACTTGTTTGTTTGTTTGGTTTTTTTTTCTTTTTTTTTTCAAATAATTAAATAGTTCCAGTAGTTTTTGCTATGGTACCAAGTGAATTTTTACTAGTTTACTGGTACATTTGTAGTGTTATGCTAATTTCAAATTGTGAATTCATTTTTGCAGACCTGCCAATCTGTACGCATTTTGCGTAGCAAGTACACATTTTGACCTCAAAGAATGCTAGTACGATTTATCACTCTAAACTATGCAAAAACCTGACGATGTGTCTGTCCACGCGCAGAACTCAAAACAAGCAACAGAAAAAGATGAAGAGTTCAAACAATCAGTGTTTTTTTTTCTTTCGGTTTTGTATTTAAATAATTTCTGTGCATTTTATTTCTCTCCAAACTGGCTGTTTGTGTGTCCGTGAGTTTGTGGACTGAGATGAGGACATGCCTGCCCAGTCCCCGCTTATAACATGCATCTGAAAAAGCATTTTCCCTTGTAATGACTTGTAATGCGAAGCATTTCTAAACCTGTTGTCAAACAAAAGAGAACATTATAACATGCTTTTACTCTACAACATCAGACAAATGTTTGAAATAACTTCCTTTTATGAACTTAATGTGGCTTCTTATCTCAGAATGATGCAGAAATATATATTCTCTGCTGTAATACAGGCTATGTTGATTAGCAGTGGATTATAAATATACTTGATTATGATGAAAATCCCGAGGTGGTTTTAAGAACCAGATAAACTATACATTGTCGCAGTAGAGTATTTATTGTTTTAATGTTCTTTTTGAATGTCATTAAAATCTTTTTTTTTGCTTATCTTTTTGCTTTTGTCCATATTAGGGATTTCCTGGAGCATCATGTGTTTCTGTGTGAGGGCGCCCTCAGGCATCCAGTTTGAATGAAACAGACATTACATGTGTTTATAGCGCATAATAATGGCCAATCCGTAAAAATAATACTTCTCTCTAATGAAATTTGAAGTAATCAATTGTACTGGAGTTTTTTTTTGTTGTTGTTGTTGGTTTGTTTTTTTATAGTATTTTAAACCGCAAAAAAAGAATCCTGATGTTCCAAACCATCAGAACCAAACTGAAAAATGTGGTTAAAAACTAGGTATTTATTGAACTGTGTTTATGCTAAAGTACTGTATAACTGGAATATCACAAACTGAGTACAGACCCTGAGTATTAACCTATGAAAAATATTTATTTATTATTTATTTGAGCTATCCAGCTGTAATGTTCCTATCATACTGTGGGTTGGAGTTAAGCCCTTTCTCTTTCATCAGCAAGGGGAATAATAGGATTCTGTGTCGCTCCTCATATTTGATATTCCAAAGTTCTGTATTGTCACTCCATGACAGAACTGAGAATTGCATACCTTAGAATCTATCACTGTCCCAGGACTGTGGTAGACTTATAATTTACTAACATTAGTAAGTGCTGCAGTTTTATGACTCTTCAACTGTTTGTTTTCTGTACAGATGTATCTTGTCATCTTTCCAGAGGGAACCCGCTACAACCCTGAGTTCCAGAAAGTTATCAATGACAGTCAGGCTTTTGCTGCTAAAGAAGGTATTGTTTCCCCTCTATAAAGCCACCCTTCAGATCTGTACTTGTTGTTGTTGTTATTATTATTATTATTATACAGATCTGTCCATATTGTGTCATACATCTGAGTGCAACAGGTTATTGGAGAAAACATCTGAGATTTTTTTTTTATTGGAAGATTTTAACGCATTACATTTTACGTTGTTGATTGGATTTTGAGATGTGAGCATTGAACTCAAAAGTAAAGTCAGATAAATGCAAGCTTGCAGGAGCAGACTATTGGAGAAGTCCTGCATGTGTCACCAGATAGAAGTAATTTCACAAGAAGATCCAGTTATGACATTTTTAATATGCGTTTGCAAGGTCAAAATAAAAACAATTAAATGCAAGTAATATGAATTTAGAAAATCAAGTGAATTTTCATTTCATGTGGACTTTAAAGGATCAATTCACCAAAACATTTAAATCAGTCATTAGTCATTTAACATTGTGTTTTTGTTTTTATGGTGTTATTCAATGATAATCAGTCATTATACTGTATGACTTGGAATATAGCGAAAAAGACTAGTGATCGACCAATATTGATTTTTTTTATAACTGATATGATACCAGTTATTTGCGTGTTTATGTGCCCGATAACCGATATGCAGAACCGATATTTTTTGCTGTTATAATTCTGTTTTTGACACAGTAATTACAATACCACTGAACTGAACAAACCATTTTATTTATAGCATTCACTCCCTCCTTGCATAGAAAACAAAACTAATCTTATTTATACACCAAAAATAGAGGGGTCTGAAAGTGCAAAAAAAAAAAGAAGACAGGCAAGGACTGCACATTTCACCTCCTCCACTTTTCCAAACCGTCTGGTGAGGCTCTCCAGCATCTCCTGTCTCATTGTTTTAATCCCATGAGAGGAGGGACTCTTGGCTGCTGAGCAACATCTTCAGAACTTTGACAGATTGGATGATGCATGATGCTGAACTTTCGTAGTGGTTCATCTCAAGAGTGACCTCTTCCTCTGGAGAAAGGGTGTTAATAAGATTACTGGCAATATTCCACTGCTCAGCACTCAGGCTAGTGAACCCACCATGCTCACTAGCATATATGTTCCATCAGATTGACACCGCCTGAATGATGGAATGTGCAGGTAGCCCAAGACAGCTCTTTGTGAGTTGAGGCCATCGTTGACAACAAGCTGTAATACGTGGGCACTGTCGCTCATGTCAGGCAGTTCATCAATTATCATACCTTTAACAATGTTAGCACCACTGTCCTGTGAACAAGAACCACTCTGTCTTTGTCAATTTCTTCCAGCATTCCAAAGAACATCTCACTAATATACTCCCCAGTGTGTGATCTAATCATTGCTTTTGTGTTTAGAATTACTTTTCTGTGAATCCACTGGTCATCAATGAAATGGCATGTGATACTCACTTGGGATTCAGTTGTACCAGACCAGCAGTCTGTGGTAAAAGCCAAGTTATAACCTGCTTTATCAGGGTTTTAGCAGTGCTTTAACATTCTCAATGATACTATTGTGAATACTGGAGAACACCTCTGTTTGGTAGAACTTCTCACTCTTTAGAGTATATCTTGGTTCTACAGTAGCCATGAGTCTCTGGAAGCCTTTATTTGCAACAAAGTTGAAAAGTCAATTGTCTGTAGCAATCATGTCTGTAATCATCCTGTCTAGTTTTTTTGAGTCTTCCACTTTGTCTGCTTATCAAACATCATAGGAAGAGAAGCTTGAATGTGGCTTGATGTATTTTCCTCTCCAGCATCTTTTTTTTTCTTTGCCTCTTCAAAGATAGTTGAGTGATGTATATCTTTAGGTGGGTCCACAGGTTGGAGGTATTTTTTGTTTTAGATTTTGACCCCATTTGGCATTCTTTGCAAACTGCCAGTCCTGGCAATGACTGAGTGAAGTAAGTCCATACTTCACTTTGTTTTTTGTTTTCTCCTTTGTCATCTTTTTTTAAAAAAGTGTTGAAAATTAGCAGTCTTTCGTGTTAAATTTAGTCTTCATATTACAACAATGAAAACATTTTATTTATAAAAAGCATCAGCAGCAACACTAATATTAACAATAAGAAAAATATATGTAGAATGTATAATATTTTCAAATGGAAAAAATAAATTAAAGACAGGAGTCAAATCAACTTTGCAGAAATATAATACTTTATTTTAAACTAGTTTTAGTAGGTTTATAAGAAGTTTAATAGGCTAAAGAGTGAAGAATAATTCGCTGGATAATGTTAATTAATTTAATAATATTCTCTGGAATATAACAAACAAAACATCGTATTTTATTGCATTGCTCAACTGAATTATTAATAATGTTTTTGTCGTTCTAGATTATGAAATACCTGCTGACAAAGCTCTGTTTGTCAATGCATTTACACAGAACTATACTCAAACTGCGATCGCTCACGGTGATAATTAATTTCCATAGAGTTGTATTTATTTAGATGTTTATTAGTGAAATAATGGTTATATAGTAAATGTTTGTATAATTACCGTGTTTTAAACAAGTGAATCTTGTTAAAAGTTACATGCAGTGTCCGTGCTGGAGCATTTCCTGAGCATCAGCCCGATGAGTGAAGAGCAATATGAAAGTGACTTCACAAGACTAATGAGCATATAGACAAGAGAGAGAGAATTAAATTTAGTGCTTTTATTTCCAACATGCACTCATTATTGACTATATATAATTAATTCAGGCAAAGTTATGTCTTTATTGGGACAGGACTTGACGGATTATCTTACGTGACTCCGTGAGTTTGTCTCTATTTCTTAGAGCCAAGCTGCATAAACTACATATCAGGCATTTATATTACAGCAAAGCAAGTAATATACTTTACCTGTGCATGCCGTTGACTCCTCTCCCCTCAGACGCACTGCAATGGTGATCCTGCGCGCAATTCTCAAAACACCCACAAGATGGTGGTGTTGATCAGTAAATCCGATATGACAAAACCGATATCCGATAAATATTGGGAAAAAATATTGGTAAATCGATATATCGGTCTCTCTCTAAACAACCAAACACATTTTACACAAAATTAATTTTGTATATTTGAAAACATTATTTGACATACTTGTAGAACTTAAGTTTTGAATTCAAAGTAGGTCAGTTGTGTGATTTGTGGGTGGGAGGATGGTATTTATGTTCACGCTCTGGTTTTTGTGTTTTTGCAGTGTTGCGTTTTTTATCTAATTACAGGCATGTTGAAAGCAATGACTAATCAGAAATATTTACTGTAGTTTAGTTCACACACTCGCATATCCTCTCATTATAACAAAGATAGTGTGGACACAATATAAATAAGAGTTCCCTATCAAAACTGTTTCTCACGTTGAGTTTGATGCTTGGGGCAAAATCGGTTTTCTTCCTAATACTGAAGCCTGATTTGTTCAAGTTTGTGCAGCTGCACAAACCTATGGCATTTCAACCCACCAAAACGGACGGGCCGACTGCCTATTGTTATGAACCCTGGTTCAAAAGGAAGCAACAAAACCAGGGACACACGCAAACACATTTAGGCTCAAAGGAGAAGAGCTTTATTAATACAAAATTAACTCTATAATAAAACAAAACAAAGGCAACAATAATATTTCTGTAAACGTGAGCAGCAGCAGTGTGTAATACAGGGTGCCTGTTAGTGCTGTGTTCAAAATATCGATATGACGATGTATCGTCACAGAGATTTGACGATACGAGCATTGATACAGCTGGCCCTGTATCGATATTGTGGCACGTGTGCAGCAGTGGACCGTACTTAATTTGTTTAAAATTTTACAACGTTTAAAATGGAGTAGAAAAGTGCGAGGTTTCTAAAAAAGAATGAATAGAGCATATATAGGCTACAACATGGTTTAATCTGGCCGCAGAGGAACACAACTGGGTTGCCTGATATAAAGAGATGTAATCCCCAAAACAGAGCTTCACACTTGCGCAATATGGAAATATCTGCTTAGTGTGCTACTTATCTTTGTCAACCTGGCAAACATGCACGCGCTCTCTCTCCACTGTGGATAAACGCACTTGCTTTCTGAAAACACTGCTTAGCTTGCAGTTTAGCGAGCTCCACTTCAATATTCTATTCTCAGAAAATTTTAATTCATCGAGTGTTTATTTATGAGAGCGAGAAAGAGAGAGGCTGTGTATGTATGAATTACCACCATTTTGCCGCGTTTCTCTATTAACAGTAAAAAAAAATTTATATATTAGAATGAGTACATTACAATATAAATTTATTAGAATGAGTACATTATTATTTATGGGCTTAAAAACAAGATGCAAACAATCAGAATATTGTACCTGGTTGAGAGTGCACAATGTAAACATGAAACATATGCCATTACCTATATTGTACTGTGGTACAGTTATGGAGGCCCTTCATAATGTAGAGGTCAACTGCCTGCTTTGCCAATAGTTCGAAATGGCACTATAGTAAGCAGTGTTTAATAAACAGCTATTTTTCTAATTTCTGCTGAGGTGAAATTCAGTGCAGTCCTGTATCGTGATACGGATCGTATCATGACTTTGCTGGTGATACACAGCCCTAGTGCCTGTGCTGTTGTAGTGTTTTAAAATGCTCAAAACAATCTCAAACCTAACACAAACAGTAGTAGCCTCCAAGGCTTTACCAACTCGAAACCTGCAAAGGGAGCTGTCAAATCCTCAAGATGTACTATTGATTGATGATTGATTTTTTTTACCTCAAGATGGATTATCGCTGTGTCTCAACTGTGGCCCCTTGGAAGGCCCTTTGCCTGTATCAGACAGGAGTCCAATTGTTGTTACGACAAGTGCTTCCAACTTGAGGTGGGGAGATCTGTGCAAGGGCATCCTGGTCCAATGCCTGCACATCAACTGTTTCAAAATGATGGCAGTTTTTCGGGCCCTCGAAACCTTCCTTCCAGCCCTGAAAGGGCAACATGTCCTTGTCCATTCTGACAATATGACAGTGGTGCCCTTCATAAATCGCAAGGGTAGCCTCAGGTCGTGGTCTCTTTACAAGATGGCAAGACACCACCTCCTATGGGCTCAGTGCAATCTGGGCTCATTGAGGGCAATGCACATGCCGAGCATACTGAACCAGGGAGTAGACGTGCTGACCTGGAGCAGTGTATTTCCAGGAGAATGGAGACTTCACCCCCAAATGGAAAGGCAAAGGCAGACCTTTAAAAGTGAAAGTGAAAATGAAGTGACATGTGGCCAAGTATGGTATATATGTGTATGTATATGGTATATACCAATACTCCGAATATGTGCTCTACATTTAACCCATCCAAGTGCACACACACAGTAGTGAATACACATACACACCATGAACACACACCCGGAGCAGTGGGCAGCCATATTGCTGTGGCACCCGGGGAGGAGTTGGGGGTTCGGTGCCTTGCTCAAGGGTCTTCACCTCGTTCGTGGTATTGAGAGTGGAAGAGAGCGCTGGTTATTCACTCAGGTCCGACAATTCCTGCCGGACTCTAACCTGCAATTTTCGACTCTGACTCTCTAACCATTAGGCCACAAATGCCTCCTTTTGCTTCATACGACAACTCTCATTGCTCTGCCAGGCCCACCTGTACACCTTTCCTCCAGTTGCTCTGCTCCCTCAGGTCTTCAGATGGATCAGGGAGATCAGATGCTCAGTTCTACTTTTTGCTCCACTCTGGCAAAACCAGTTGTGGTTCCCTGACCAACTCAGTTATCCCTTCCTTCCTCTGAGAACGAGCAGGGCGCTAACTTACTTTGCCCGGTCCAGACCCTCAGGATTTATGTGGAACACTCTTGCCGGCTTTGGGGGCTGCTCCAAAGAGCTGCCAGTTACGAAGCAGAGATAATCGCACTGGATAGTGGATGCAATAGCCCTGGCTTTTGCCTCTGTGGGCTCTGAGTGCCCATTTGGAGTGAGGGCCCTCTCCACTCGGGGATGGCCTCTTGGTATATTGTAAAACAACAGAACAATCCATTGAACACTCAGTACTTCTATCCCTCACAGCTTCATTTTCATTTCTGCCAAAAATTTAATATGGCACTACACTGACTGAAGTCTCTCTGGACTTGGTCCAGTGGAGTTTCTGTTGGGGATATTTGTGAGGCAGCCAGTTGGTCATCGTCATCAACCTTTGTTAGGTTTTTTAAGTCCCTATGGTATGTTCTTCCCCCAAGCGTCATAAACGCAACCTTAGAGACCTTTTTGATAGGGAATGCTCGGGTTACTAAAGTAAACCTAGGTTCCCTGAGATAAAGATTAAAGAAAGTTATGATAGTCCCTGAGATAGTTATGTTGTAACCTGAGCGATTCAATCGGCAGTATGTAGTTTCTTGGCTACAGACTTCAGTCAGCATAGTGCTACACTTAATTTTCAACAGGAATGAAAATTAGGCTGTGAGGGACAGATGTACTGTGTGTTCAGTGGATTTTACTGTTGTTTAACAACGCCAATTTTTCAGTAGGTGAAATGTCTTTAAGAAAAATAAACTTTCAGTAGATAAAAAAAAAAACGTCAAAACAGTTTTGAAAGTTGGTGAAAATTGTGATCTAGGACCTTTTACTGTATATAGTGCGTGCCATTGTAAAGACTGTAAGTCTATCCCTCAAAGCCTCATTTTCATCACTTGTTAAATTCAATTTGGTGTCTAAACAGACTAAGGTATAACAGTTTTTGTGCAAATGAGCTTAGTCATGTAAAGTAGGGCTTCAACAAACGATTATTTTGATGATTAATATTTCTAATAATTGATAGATTAATCAATTAACTAATTGTTGATTTCACTTATTAATCAGTAGGCTTTGATTATTCAGCTTTTGCAATTTGTTAAAATATTGATTTACAAATTCTATAAATTTTCATATAAACTGTGCTATAGCTTCACACTAGTCAAACCACATTATTGCATTAGGTCATAAAAGATCAAATGACTATTCGACAACAAAAATAAAAAATGTCAAGGTTGTCAATTAAAGTTGACTAATTGTTTCAGCCCTGCTGTAAAGGGACCATTCTTTGCTTGCTTTCTGTATGTAATCCATTCACAATTTGAAGAAAAGTTTTGTCAAAGCCAATGCCCACGTATACTGTTAAGTTTGAGAAGTGACAAACACTGACAGTGGCGAATTTTTTGTTATATCCATGAATGAAAATGAGAAATGTAAATATTCAAACAAATATGTTCAAGACACTGTAAATAAATGACAATTTTCATTTTTGGTTGAATCCATTTATGCCTAAAGTAAGCAGAGACTATTAGCACCATGTTTCCCCATGGCACCGTAAATATATATTTAATTTTATAATATTTAAATATTTTTCTGTCACTGATAGATGTCTAACATTTCTGAATGTTTTCCCAATGTACTAAATTGCAGTTTCTCAAACTAATTTACTTGTAATAGTCATGTTGTCTTGCCTATTGCAGGACTTGCTGTGCTGAAGCACGTTTTAACACCAAGAATGAAAGCATCACATGTTGCCATTGAGACTATGAAGGAACACCTGGATGCTGTATATGACATAACCGTTGCATATGAGGGAAAACTCACAGCAGCCGGCCAGAGACATCCAGCTCCTACAATGCCAGGTATGTTGTTATCATACATTCAGTTTGCAAACAGCATGTTTACTTTCATCAACTGAAACTAGCACAGGAAAGAAGGTGGACGCAGTGTTAAATCATTGATTGAGGGCTGGAAAAAATAGATATGTGAATTTCCTGTTACTTCCTGTAAACAGTGAGTGTCACAATGTGTTATTTTCCATTGGTTCCCAAAACACTAAAGCAATAAGAGGTTTCATGCAGAAAACATCCTGTTTTTCACAGGAATAAACATCATAAGTCGCAACATTTGGGTAGCTGTTAGGATATTGTTACATCCTTTATAAAAAAACAAAACAAAACTATTAAGCAACAGGCTGTCACAATATCAACGTTTCAGTCATGCGTCACCATTTCTGGGTCCAAGTGCTCTGTCAGATCGCACAAGCAAACTGATCTTATACAGTACACTCAACGGTGTGCTCTAATACTACTTAAAAATCATGATCCTGACCTTTATCTCCATACTGAAATCTGAGTTGGCCAGAGAGAGATTCATCTTTTATGAATCGTTAAAATATTGGTGTCTGTGACACAGTGAGCTTGGAGACTGTAGTGTTCACCAAACATTTTTAAAGCTTAGCTTAAAGGTATGATATATATGGATGGTGATCATAAATTGCTCTTGAAACACATTTTTGTTTTCCTTGTTTCTTGATTATTATTAATTTGTCCTACCACAGTTTCATAATGAAGTAAATATATTTTTAAACTTCTCATTAAAACACAAAATATCTTAACAGTGTGTTTTTGCACCATTGCTTTGTCAAATCATCTTTCAGTTGAACTAAATTGCGATGACGTAATGCGCTTCTCAAATCACAAAAGGCTGTGGTTTAATTGAACAATTATGGTCAGTGTTCATTTACATTTGAGCAGCTCATGAATAAGTGATTCACTGTCTTAGAGTGACTCCATTCACAAATGTAGCCAAAAAAAACTTGATCCTTTAACACTTGCACTCTACAATACTTGCTTGCTTTTTATGTAAAAAATTATCTTATAACTCATTTTTCTTTCTTTAAAAAAGAGAGAGACCCTCTAACACAAATTTTCTGTATTCTTTTTCTATTCTATCTACTTGTTTTCTTTTTATTTATTATTAAAAAAATAAAAAAAAACCTTGCTACGTGTACTGCGTTATGCTAACCAAGACTTGTCACAGCACTTACATATTATTGCTCTTTTGTAGGTTTTGATTGCTTCTGGTGTCCTCATTTGTAAGTCGCTTTGGATAAAATAGTCTGCTAAATGTAAATTCTATCTGTGCATGCACCGTGAGTTATATGTGCATTTGGGAACACAATGTGTGCCAGACTTTTCACATTCTCATAATTTCTAACATTTTGTAAACAGACAGCATGTCACTACATTTGTAATGAAACACGTCTTTGCTGGAAAATCTCCCAGCAGTTTTCTGCCAAAAATGAAACTTTGCAAGTGTAGCGAATCAGCTCATGGGGAAATATGAATAATTAAGCATAACTAGTTATAATTAACTATTCATATTTTAGATCCGCTGTAGATATTTAGCTGACCTCTCAGGGTCAACTGTCTTGTCAATTCCAAGAACGTTAATTTCCTGGTTAAGGGAAATAACTTTCTTACTGTACAATTCTACAAGCTTGTAAAATTCCAGGGGGGAAGGGTTCATGGGTCCTCATATGGCTTGTTAACTGAGGTTACAGAGTATTTGTTATATAAAAAGAGAATATATAGTGTGTTGGATTGGTCCAGACGCTACAGCAAGTGAACAAATTAAGACAGACAGTATTGTAAATTTACTATGTTTAAAGTGAAATCGTTTATGTAATTATTAAATAATAATTTTTAATTTTATTTCACTTTCATAAACCGTTTTTAATTGTTTAATTTTCAGTTTGTTTGTTTTCTGTCTGATGGTTGTCTGAAATGCCTTTATCTAATTCAAATTCTCTGTGTGATAGAGTTCCTGTGCAAGGAATGCCCCAGGGTGCACATCCACTTCAACCGCTTGGACATGAGGGAAATTCCTGTGGAGCCAGTGTTCTTCCGCAGATGGCTACATGAAAGATTTGAAATCAAGGACAAGTGGGTTTCCGAAATAGCCCCTAGTCCATCATTCTTATTTATGCTTAACTACATATGCTTAACTACGTATACATAACTACATACGATTACACTTTATATTATGGTGCCCTTGATACAGTGTAATTATAAATTTAAGTACTTAGTAATATTAATTAACTACCTGTACTTACTGTATGGTTAAGATGAGGGTTTGGTTTAGAGTTGTTGCATGTAAGGCTTAATTGTATGTAATTATGCATAATGTATTGTTGTTACTATATAGTAGTACATGTAGTACTGGGCACTGTAACAAGGGCACTGTAAAAAAAAAAGTGGGTAACACTTTATTTTACAGTGTCCTTGTTACACGTTACATGTACTTACTATTATAATAACAATAAATTATGAATACATGCAAGTAACCCTAAGCCAAACACTAATCTTAATGCTAACCGTATAGTAAGTACATGTAGTTAATTAATATTACTGTGTACTTAAATGTATAATTACACTGTAACAAGGACACCTTAAAATAAAGTGTATCCAAAAAGTGTTACCTTACACTTATTTTGGTTATGGTATGTTTGCAAAATCACTGATCACAGCAGGGATTCCATGATCATGGAAAACTTTGAAAGGTCATAGGATTTAATTGGTCAGAAAAAGTGTTTTGATGCTGTGTGCAACAGTTACGCCTAAAAGCTACATATACTTTAAAGTGGTTGAACTAGAGTCAAGCCACACAAACATTTAAGGAGAGTGTGTTGGGTTATTTCCAGTTTGCTGAACTGAAAAAAATGTCTGCAAATTACAACATGGCATAAAAATAGTGGTGCTGTTGATTTAAAGTATTTTGTGAACTGGAAATGCTGGATTATTTTAAAATGGTGATTTAGTTGCACTTTCAAATGTGTTATTTTTTCTGTTTAGGCTACTGACCACTTTCTATGATTCTGAAGACCCTGAGAAAAAGTGCAGGTTCCCTGGAGAAAGCCAAAAGTCGCCTCTTAATCTTACAAAGACATTGCCTTCTCTGTTGATTTTGGGTGGCCTCACTTTACCAATGCTGTTAACAGAGTCAGGTAGAAAACTCTATCTCAATACCTGGCTCTATGGGACTCTGATTGGATGGGTGTGGGTAAGTGTAAGTCCATAAACTAACCATACTGAGAAAAAAAATCCATTCTGACCACTCAGATAACACATTTAGATTTCATCATTGGATTCTTCAATTCTCACCATAGTTTCTTTTTGGCTCATAGTATACTACTAACCAAGAGGCTTTTTTTTATTGTTTTTCATTTGTTTTATTTCATACTCTTAACTGTCAGAAGGTAAACAGTAACATTGTGTCTGCACTGCAAACAAATATGAGATGCAAAAAACTAAGGCGTTGCATTTGTCGGCATAATATGCTTGCAGCACTGTAGACATATTCCTATTTTGATTTATAATAGGAATGTTTCAGTTTTTTTGTTTGATGTCATCATTCACTTGCGATGTAAACCCAATGTGAGGGTTTACTCACATTTTACTCACAGGTTAGAGTTCAACTCTTATCTGAAATGCACAAATGGATAACAATATGTAGCACCGATACAATGTTTTGTATTAATGTTGTATTAATACCATAGCAGTCTTGAAACATTTGTCATTTAATCATATAATTGGCCTTGTGGAACTACATGTTTAAATTTCCAGTATGCAAGGTTTTTTTGGGGGGTTTTTTTTTTTTTTTTTATGATTTGTGGGATTCTGAATATGGTTTCTAACATCAATTGTGTATACAGGGTCTGTATTTCATCATGATGTTCTTGAGAATATTTGGAGTATTTTATTATTTTGTGCTGATTTTCTTTGTGTAATGCAGGTAATTTTTGTTGGTTATTCATTGGATTTTGGATGTGTGTTTACATCGGTTATATTTTTATTTGATTTGATGCCAAGATCTAAAAAGCCTGTCAGATATGGGCTTTTTATTGTAAGCATTTGCACTGTTGCTAAATATTTCACCGATAGTTGCCAAAATTCCTGGTTGCAGGGGTATTAAATATTCAGTCAAAAATAAAAAATTGTCTTTTCAACTTAATGTTATTCCAAACCTATGACTTTATTTCTTTGACGAATCCCCACAACCCATTTTTCATGTTTTTCCAGAACGTAATCAAGAGCAATAATTTTGTCCACATAAGAAATCTGAGACCTTTGTCTTGAAATCTCATAGTTCAGTGGTTGTTTTTTAAATAAACAAATGACCTCATCTTGCTCATGCCATCTAATTGTTCTTTAAATCCTGTTGCTTTTATTAAAAGTATATTTGTATTATTTAATTTAAGTGGAGTACAATTGATCCATTGTATTATTTATTTGACATTTACCAAAAAAATAAATTAAAAAAACGCTTCAGTAAGTGCAACTGGAGATGTTTAGAGCTTAGAACATTGCCAGAGCTTCAACAGGACTCCCTCTACTGGAAGCTTCTGGGTCACTTTAGATATAAAGGTCAGTGTAGGCTCCCACATTAAAAAGATTTGTTGACATCCAGTTGATTGCACTTACCCATAATTCATAATGTGATTATCATTAAAGTCCATTATCTAAAAATATTCTGATGAGAAATGTATTTGAATGATAGGAGAGTATGGGAATTTAAAATGAAAAAGGGGCAATAACGCATATGCCTTCAGTATAAGTTTAGAACCCAAAACTTTAACCCTTAAATAGTATCAAGCACTTGTTGACAAAATCACAGATGTACAGCAGCATTCCCAAAATCATTGAAAACCTGGAAAAGCCTTGGAAATGTATTGTTAAAAAAAGTGTTGGGGATGCCATGTTGAAACTGTACTTTGCAACAGTTTGGTAAAAGCTACATGTTCTTTAAAGTAGTTAAAATAATGTCAAGCATTTGTATTTAATCAGAGACATTTTTTCAATAAAATCTTTAATAAGGTGACAATTACGCTTTTGCTAAATATATACATTAAATAAAGGCATCTCTGATCTTTAACCCTAAAATAGTATCAAGCACCTTTCCAAAAAAAAAAAAAACTTTTTCTCTTTTAAAATAAAACGTAGTTGAAACTAATGATTGACTTAAGGCACTTTCTATTCTTTCATTTAATTTAAGTACAGATATCGTTTCATACATCTTATGTCCTTTATTTTATTTCAGTGGATTTGATTTGTGGTCATGTCTGTGTGTCATCAGATTTGTTTCTGACATGTTTGACATCAAAAAGCTTGTGACTTGTAGTCAAAAGTTAGTTTGGGCTTTCATTAACATTAATGATGTCTTGTCACAGTCAAAAACCATCCATGAATTTGTATTTTTTATTTTTTTTTAAGTCATAACCTTTCTAAAACAAAGTGACTGTGATTTACCAATGAAACTGTGGGGCAGAGTTTGCCCTTAACTTATTTTGCGGGGGGATCACGCTTCTTGACGTATTTCTGGATGACTGATAAATTATTGCATTTATCATAGCATAATTAGAAGATCATCTATTCGGCAGAAGTGGAATCATTTGATATTTGATACGGTTTAATTATATACTATGTATTATGATTCTGAAGTCACCAAACTCTGTGAGACTGTACAAAGTATTTCAACTGCAACAAACTTTCTTAAACTGGTGCTGCATTGATGCCCATCTTTTAAAGACTTGTCCATGCAGTAAACACTCATGATCATTTAGTGTCTGTACTATACTCCTTCACAATAAAGTTTTTTTTTTTCTTTCTATCTGATGTTTGATTTATTTAGGTCTTAATTATATTTGACATTTGAATTTTTTTTTCTTCATATAACACTAAGCCAATATGCAAGATTTCAACATTATCCTCTTATAGAATTATGTGTGTGAGTGACGTGACGTGGTGAAGTATGGTGACCCATACTCGGAATTAGTGTGTGTGTGTGCACTTTGGATGGGATAAATGCAGTGAACTCACACACACCATGAACACACACCCAGAGCAGTAGGCAGCCATTTTTTGCTGCGGCGCCCAGGGAGCAGTTGGGGGTTCTATGTATTAGGTATTGAAGGTGGAAGAGAGCGCTGTACTCCTCCCACCTACAATCCCTGCCGGTATGAGACTCGAACCCGCAACCTTGGGTTACGAATCTGACTCTCTAACCATTAGGCCACGACTTCATGTAATATATGTGTTTATAAAAAAATATATATAATATAATATATTATAGAGTTTAAAGGTGTTTTAAGATGAAAATGGCCAAAATTCTAATTTTTTGTAGTAGTTCACAGCCAACTAAAACGTTAGTTACAAACAGAACAGTGGTTCTATGACCAAATGGAAGGCCAGAGGCAGTGCTAAAAGCACTAGTGGAAGACGAATACCTACACATGCAGAGATCACTGCACACATCACTGGCAAGGGAGTCACATTCAATCTGCATAAACAAGAAAACGTGCAAGCTGAACTCCCAAGTTGCTGCAACATGCTGCCCATGTTGCCAAAAACAGTACCAAATACCTGCGTCATCCAGTGCACCAGTCTCTGTTTGGAAAGCACAGCACCCCTGTGTGCATCAGTAAAACAAACAAAAAAAATAATTGGTCTGTCTTATGCCAAGCTGCTGTTGTATCATTGTCTTCAAAGACCTTACGAGCTTAAATAGCTCCAGTCATATGTCAGTTTGATCTGCTGGCAGTGCAGCCAACACAGTAGGCTTGTAGCAACTCGTGATGTAATAACTGCACATAATGTAATAATTTTCTCAAAATGTAAAAAGTAAAAAAATAAAATCTTGATCTCATAATGTAATAACAATTATTACATTATGAGAAATGTATTACATTATAAACTCACCAAAAAATTTTCATAATTATATAATTATACTTATAATAAAGAATAAGCAGTCCAGTAAGGTACAAACTAATTATTATTTAATATATTATATATATTATATTAAGAGATAGATATAGGGGTAAATGCAAAAATGAATCTCAGACGTGAACATATTTGCTTTGCTTAATCTTCTGATGTACAACTTAATTATAAAAAGAAATTAAAAAATGTTGAATTCATTTGGATTAAGCAAAGCAAACATGTCAATCTCAGTCTGAGATTAATTTTAACATTTCTATAGAATAACTAAAGCTGAACTTTAGTGAGGGGACATTGTTCCTCTTAGAAAAAAATAACTTTTATTAAAATTCTGAATGTATTACAGATAGTCTAGTATGCGTGCAAAGAGTGCTCCCTTTAAATGCACTGAGCCTGTCACTCATCTCAGTTCATCGGTTCAACAGACGTGTCTGTGATTAGCTACACTGCTCAATGCTGTAAATGTTGTAAACAGAAACATCTGGCACGCTCCAGAGCGCAACTGCAAATATGCACAGAAGAGTTTGGCAAATATGTTATTATTACAGTTTCAACGAAGGGTGCTGTTTTGTTTTTTTGTGTGTTTAGCTCCTTAAACTGGGCCTGACATGATAAACTGCTTTCTGTATGGATTTAATATGGAATGTTAAAGGAACATTTGACTTAGATTATGTTTTTACTTTGGCCATGCATTAAATGTACATCCCTGAAAGAGATTTTTGCTGACGTTTTTTGCTGACGTATTTACTTTAACTTCTCAGGTAATGTCCATGGTATGATGACAAGGACAGTGGTTACATATAAATATATTTTAATTGATCAAAATCATTGCTTGGAACAATTCAGTTGTGCCCCTACTAAATTCTGTGTCCTTGAATTGAAGGTATTTTTTATGACCAAATTTGGAAAAAACGAATAAAATGTTCCAAAGTCTAATGTAGTCTGGGATAGATGGCGTTATCTGCGTCAGGCAACGGCAGCATTACAGCACGAGTTAAATGAACATTCACTTTAATACACGTTATAACATGAATGTAGATCAGAGGATATGTTGAAAAATAAAGTAAAACTTACAATCACATATCATTTCTGTGTCATGTTCAATAAGCATAACAGTAAGCACAGCATAAGTACACTCTTAAAAATAACGGTGCTTCACGATGCCATAGAAGAACCTTTTTGTCTAAATGGTTCGATAAAGAACCTTTAAAATCTGAAGAACCTTTCTGTTTCACAAAAGGTTCTTTGTGGTGAAAGAAGGTTCTTCAGATTACAAAAAGGTAACAAAGTGATGGTTCTTTAAAGAACCTTTGACTGAATGGTTCTTTGTGGAACCAAAAATGGTTCTTCTATGGCATCGCTTGAAGAACCTTTTGAAGCACCTTTATTTTTAAGTGTATAACAGCCTGTGAAGAATGTGTCAGCTACATGACGTTTGCCTCAAGAAGATAAAAGCGTCTAACCATATTGCCAAAATTATAAATATATTATACATTTGTGTATAATATAAAAATGTTTTTATAAGAACCATTTAAATGACTATATTTCAAAAATTATTAGTAAGCTTTTTATTAAAAAATTTAATTTCACAATGTAGCCTAAAAAGCCTAATAAACCAAAATAATGCAATTGCTTATTTTACATAAAACTATGATTGCGTTTTTGTGCTCAAATGTATTATATTGAAAGATAATTATGATATTGTAAACATATAATAATAATTGTTTTAAATTATGTGCTGGTATTACCTTATGAACAGTGATTACATTATAAGTTGCCACAGTGTGTTCATAATGTAATACATTTCTCCTACAATAACCTATTAAATTATGTGAAAATTATTACATTGAAAAATTATTATTACAGTATGAGCTCAAGATTTTATTACGTTTTGAGAAAATTATTTCATTATGAATAATAAAAATGTAATATTTCATTAAGCACAGTTTTTACATTATGTGCAGTTATTACGTTACGGCTGGTTCATAATATGTGGGGACAAAATCTTGGGTAGAAATGGCTTGGATACAATGCGACACTACTGAATCCATTACTCCAACACAAGCAGGGAGCACTCACTGATAAGGCATATGGAGTTCACTCACGCTTCACTGTTGTAATGGCCAAGAAAAATGTGGTCTCAAATGACAGCCATTTAATGTCAGACTCTAATATTGGCTCAAATGGGGGATGACACAGGGAATCGAGAACAATATTCAGATTCCGCGTCTGACTCCACACAACGCATGGAGGACACAAACGATTAGCTCCTTTCAGGAAGGCAACAATTAACGGGTTAGACCCAAACAAAGAATTACTAAACTCAGATCAATGAGCTGCTAAAGCCACCATTTACCAGTGTGGAAAGCACTACCTTTAAGTGTGGAAGTTGAATGACCAAGTCCCAAAAGATGCTAAAAAAATCTAAAATGCCTCCCACTAAACCATCGTTTAGTGGGAGGCATTTTAGATTTTTTTTCAGCATTATTTTCCGTGTAATTTTCCGTTAGAACACTAAACTGCGGTTAGAATCACAAAACTCTGTCCACTTTCAAGCGTACAACCTTCGTATAGACGCAGCACAAGCATTAAAAACAGTGTTCCTGCCTCTCTGTGAACACTCCAAGCAAATGCCAGGGTCCACTCCCACAGTTTCAATCCGTCTGGATGTGGGTGACAAAATTTCCCTACTAACTGACTCATTAGGTCTGGTCTATTGTTAGAACAACTAAGCAAATGAAGAGAATACAAGCCCACATATGCTGAAAACATTCTCTGTTAGAGAAAGTTGCATAATGCACAAATTGAAGACTAAAGCTTGCCCATATGAATGATGTTTCTGACATTTGAAATGAAATGTTTTTTGCAATGCAGATAGTCAGATTTTAATGTGGTTGGAGTTTTATGCTCATGAAGTTATGTTAGAGATTGTAAGCACTAGAAGCTTAATTCAGTGCTTCTGTGAACAGTAACTTTATGTTTGTGCAACTAAGCAAATGAAGAGAATTCAAGCCCACAGATGTTGAAAACCTTCTTTCTCTGATAGAGAAAACTGGTTTATGCAATGTAAAGACTAAAGCTTGCTCACATGAAAGATGTCTCTAACATGTGAAATGAAATGTTATGTGCAATGCAGATAGTCAGATTTGAATGTTTTTGGAGTTTTATGCTCATGAAGTTATGTTAGAGATTCTAAGCACAAGAAGCTTAGCTTAGTGCTCCTGTGAACAGTTACTTTATGTTAGTGCAACTAAGCAAATGAAGAGAATGCAAGCCCACAGATGCTGAAAACCTTATTTCTCTGTTAGAGAAAGTTGGTTTCTTCAATGTAAAGACTAAAACTTGCCCATATGAATGATGTTTCTGACATTTGAAATGAAATGTTATTTGCAATGCAGATAGTCAGATTTTAAAGTGTTTGGCGTTTTAATCTCATGTTGGAGATTCTAAGAAGCTTAGCTTTAGTGCTCCTGTGAACAGTTACTTTATGTTAGTGCAACTAAGCAAATGAAGAGAATGCAAGCCCACAGATGCTGAAAACCTTATTTCTCTGTTAGAGAAAGTTGGTTTCTTCAATGTAAAGACTAAAACTTGCCCATATGAATGATGTTTCTGACATTTGAAATGAAATGTTATTTGCAATGCAGATAGTCAGATTTTAAAGTGTTTGGCGTTTTAATCTCATGTTGGAGATTCTAAGAAGCTTAGCTTTAGTGCTCCTGTGAACAGTTACTTTATGTTAGTGCAACTAAGCAAATGAAGAGAATGCAAGCCCACAGATGCTGAAAACCTTCTTTCTCTGTTAGAGAAATTTGGTTAATTCAACGTAAAGACTAAAACTTGCCTACATGAAAGATG